CGGCGGCCCGGTCCTGCCCGTGAGCGCTGCGCTCGCCTCATAGTCCCCGGCGGCCGTCGCGCCACCGCTCTTGTGGCCCCGCCGCGGGCGGCAGCAGCAGCGGCTCGTGAAGCGCCGCCACGACTCCACAGTCTTGCCGGACCAAATCCAGACGCCCGACGTGATGCCCACCACAAGGCACATGAAGTACTTGAGCATGAGCACCCAGTACTCGGGCTTAGCGCGTGGCTGGCCGGCGTCAGGGCCTGGGCACGCGCAGGTGAGCGCAGCCTCCCAGCTCTCGCGATAGTGCTGCTCGTACAGGTAGCAGGCCACCACGATGCTGGCCGGCACCGTATAGAGCAGCGTGAAGATACCGATGCGGATCATCAGCTTCTCCAGCTTGTCCGTCTTGGTGCCGCCCTGCTTGATGACGCTACGGATGCGGAAGAGCGACACGAAACCCGCCAGGAGGAAGAGGGTGCCCACCAGCAGGTAGAGCACCAGCGGGCCCAGCACGAAGCCGCGGAGCGAGTTCAGGTTCTGGTTGCCCACGTAGCAGATGCCGGCCACCGGGTCCCCGTCCACGGAGCTCAGTGCCAGCGCCGTGATGGACTTGACGCTGGGGATGAGCCACGCGGCCAGGTGGAAGTACTGTGCATAGCCCGCGATGGCCTCGTTGCCCCACTTCATTCCAGCTGCCAAGAACCAGGTGAGTGACAGGATGACCCACCAGATGGAGCTGGCCATCCCGAAGAAGTAGACCAGCAGGAAGACGACAGTGCACAGCGCAGGGCCTGTCGTCTCGTAGTGAATGTGGCTGTGCTCGCGGCTGCAGGCGACGCTGGCATGGCCCACCACCAGGCGCACCAGGAAGCCCAGCGACACGCACAAGTAGCAGGCGGACAGGAAGATGATGGGGCGCTCAGGGTAGCGGAAGCGTTCCATGTCTATCAGGAAGGTGGCCACCGTGGTGGAGGTGGAGATGAAGCACAGCACAGACCACAGGCCAATCCAGAAGGTGGCGAACGTGCGCTCGTCCGGGCTGAAGGAGGGCTGGTAGCAGGGCACCGCGCAGTTGGGCACCTGGCCCGTGCGCACCTTGTTGTAGAGCGGGTGCGACTCCTTCAGGATGGGCACGAAGGGCTCGCGGCACTTGCACACCGATGGACCCCCGGCGGCGCACTCGCCCCCGGAGGCCGGGGCCCCCGCGGGGCCCGGGAGGGTGGGTTTGGCGGGGAAGGGCCTGGGGGGCGCCGTGGTGGCCTCGCTGCGGTTGTAATCCATGCACAGGACCTCGGCGTCGCGGCCCAGCACCGGGAGGCGGTCGCAGCTCATGCGCTCCGGCCAGGCGAAGCCGTACTGCCGCATGAGCGGCGAGCAGCCGGCCTTGGCGCGCTCGCACACCGAGCGGCAGGGCGGCAGCGGCTTGTGGTAGTCGGGCAGGCAGATGGGCGTATACATGGAGCACAGGAAGAAGCGCAGGTCCGGCGAGCAGTGGATCTCCACCAGCGGCCAGAACTGGTGCACCTCCAGGCCAGCCTCGTCCTGCGTGTCGTGGTTGAACTGGTTGGGCATGTGCGTCAGGTTGTAGCCGATGCCGCGGCACATGGGCACTGTGATTTCCTGGCACACTGGGGCCTTGGAGGCAGCCGCCGCCCGGCCGGCCAGCTGCGCCAGGAGCAGCAGCAGCAGGGAGGGCGGTGCGGACGGGTCAGGCCGAGCCATAGCCCCCTCCCTCCCCTCGCCTTGCCTGCCGCAGCCCGCGCGGGGCCCACGCAGCCAGGGGAAACCGGGCGGCCTTTCCGCCGACTTGTGTGTGGCGCCTCGGCTGGCAACCTGTTGGTTTTTCTCTTAAATTCGTCCAAAGATAAACTGTTTCGGGAAGGCGCTGCCTCCGCAGGCAGCGCTCAGCTCTTCGCCAGATAGGGTGGGGAGGGACGGTTAGGGCTCCGGTTCCAGGGAAAGTACTCTCTAAAAAAGAAGCTGGGGGAGAAGAAAAATTGCAACTCCCAATTAGAGGGGAGTCAACGACACAGTCCCCGCAAGCGCTCTCCAAATCTCTAAGTTAACCTCTCTCCCTTCCCTCCCCTCCACCTCCGGGAACCAAACTGACTCCCAGCCCATCGCCACCCCCCACCTCCCTCCACGCTGGGCCCTCCGGGCTGTACCCCGGGGTCGGAGAGCTCAGCCGCCCGGAAAAGGGCGGAGGAACCGGGAAAAGAACGGGGAGAAAGGGGCAGGCGCGGGCTCTCACCTTCGCGGATCCCGAGAGAAACAAATAGTCGGCAGCCAGCCTGGGTGCTCCGTCCCTGGGACACTCGCTCAGAAATGCGACTCAGAGACGGGCTGGCACCCGGAAAGTTTGACGATAGACTGGGTATCCGAGGCGCGGCACATGGCAGCAGGTGGGGCGTCTCAGAGAGGGGGTCGCACCCTGAGCGCGGCCGCCGCAGGCCGGTCACTCGCCCTCTCCTCCTCCGGGGCCCCCCGCATGATCCGAGCGGGGCAGAGCAGGAGCAGGCCGTGCGTTCCACCGGGGTCCGGGAGCCGGACGAAAGGCGAGCGCGCCTGGCAGCACCTGGGCGAGAGGAAGGCGGTGTGCGGCAGCCGGGGGATCCCGCTGCCTCACTGCACCGGGAGCAGCCGGCGCTGGCACCGCCGGGACTGCATGGTGCTAGCCCGCCGCCGCGTCCAGCCCGCTGCTCGCCTCCCCCCCTGCAGGGGGCTCCGCGCTCCAGCAGACTCCTGGGGGCGGTGGCGGCGCTCCCGGGACGCGCCCGGCTCGGCTCCTCCCCCGCGCTCTCTCACTCTTTCGCCCACCTCCCGCGGGTACAGAACGGCGCGCGCTCGGCGAGGGCAGCGGAGACTCGGACGCGGGCTGACTGGCCTGTCCCGCCCCGCCCGGGTCACCTGCCTCTAAAGCCCGCCGGGAGGCCCCGCCCCTTCCCCGCCCCCTCGCGCTGGGGCTCGGTTGGTGGGCCGCCCCGCCACGTTCTCCGCGCGTCCCCGCCCACTGCCCCGCGGGCTCGGCCTCTCCCCCGGCGCCCTCCGGCCCCGCCCGGAGCGGGCCGCCGGGGAGCGCGGGCCAATAGCGGGCCGGAAAGCGATGGGGGCGGGGCGAATGCTAATCTCTCCTTCTCGAGACCCGGGGCGGGAAACCTTTGCTGGAAGTCCCTACCGAGTTCTCTGCGGGCGCCCGCGGGTCCGGGGCTCACTTTCCCGTAATAGACTAGCTCATGAACCCTTGCTTCCAGAGCCCCTGCCAGGTCTCTCTGCAGCTAAAAATCCTTAGCTTCCAGCGCTTGTTTAAAAGAACTGCCCGAAGAATCATTCTTAACCGTGGCACCTGTCTCCGCTCTGCGCTGTCCTCATACCAGGTGAGCTCACGCTGAGAGAAGAGCGAAGGCTTATTGAGCCCCTACTGTGTGCCAGACAGCGCGTTAATCGTTTATATCTTAATACAAGATCTCAGATCTTTACAGTTCTGTGAGACAGGTACTCCTTACAGGTGAAGGAACAAAGGTTTTGAAACTTGACCAAGGCGACCGAGCTAATACTTTCCCAAGAAAGCCGCAACATAGGCAATCTTCACCCGGGTATTCCGAGCGCCTGGCGCTCAAATGGTAACTCGGGATTCGAACCCACGTAGCTGCATCCCAGGGGTAACCACTCTCCCCCCACCCCGCCATGTAGTCTCTGTATCCCCCTGTCTTCAACCTTTACTTTAGCATTTCGTCACAGAAGACTCGAGAGATGTTAGTCCTTTATCAGTCGAAGTTTAAAATCCCAGGCAGTCCCCAAGTTGCCTGCAGGGAGAAGCGGCGCTGGCTCGCGGCTCGGTAATGGGTGGGCGCCTGGCCCCCCGCGGCTGCCTGCTGCTGAGCCGCGTACCGGCGCGCCTCTGGGGAGCGGGGGCGCAAAAAGTCCCCGCCGGCGGGAAGACCCGCTGGGTGCCCCGGCTGCTGGGACACACAGTGGCGCTCTCCAGATAGGTTATTATGCTGCAAGTTTTAAATGTCCTAAAAATGCCTCTTTTCTGCATGTTCTAATTAGGTTGGAAGATTGAGGTGTTTAGCATTCTTGAAATTCATTCACACGCTTACAAAGAGGGTTTGAATTGTTTCCCGCTCCCCCACCCCTTCCTTCCTCTGGGAAGGAGGAGAAAAAGCAGGAGGGCCTGGGTACTTCAAGGAGTCAGGACTGGACTAAAGGGCTGAGATAGACCACAGTCATTGTCGTTCTCCTGTCCTGGATCCCGTTTGTACAGACTGGGAGACTGAATTGCAGAATAGCCCTCTCCGTCTTGCTCATCAACAAGGCTTTGTGGACAATAATGAAGAATATGTGCATTAATCCCAGATTCAAAGTTTAAAGTGAATAAATACTATTGTTTCACAAGCATCAAAACTATTAATAAATATGTTTAGAATGTACCTTACATCTTTCATTCCCTGAAATTCTACAGGTGTTCATATTTAATCTCTTTTGTGTTTTGGAAACACTTGGCACTCTGGGTCGGCAAACATCCCAGGGTTGAAAGTAGTGGGAGTTGAAAGCTATGGAATAGTAATCAAAAAGAAAGGGAAACCCTCAGTGGAAAGTATGTGCAGACTGTGAACATGCCAAGCAAGGGCTGTCTCATTCTGCGCCCTTTATGCAACGTGTGTATTATTGGGGATGGACAAGTGGTGGCTAATAATAAAAATTATTTGAAGTTGGAGAATGTTAATCACTCATGCTGGAATTTAGCCAGAATACTTGTGTTATTTCACTTGGTTCTGGTTCAAACAATGTTATCTACTGGTCTGTAAACCTCTCTCTTAATCAAGAGCGAAATGTTATTTTTGCTTGGAGGTCTCTAATAGTAGTAGTAATAACAGCAGAAAACTTTGCCAAAAGAGACTTATTTTGCATTACTTCAATTTAAAGGAAGTTTAAAACACGCTGATTGTTTAACATGTAGTAGGCAGGCTGCTAAGTAATTCATTTACATTACCTCATTTAACACCTCACAACAATCAGATGGAACCCGGAACCATAACAACTTGCTTGAGGTCACCTATCTAGGCCATAGAAAGGATGGAAATCAAAATATTCTCCTGTGTCATAATTTATTATTCAACAAGCTGGAAAACACTACATAATCTTGTAAAGGTGCAATTTGTTAGCCCCTAAAACATTGCCAAGCATTCTCTTCTATTCATTCACCCATCTATCCTTTCATCTAGCCATTCATCCATCTGTCCATCCGTCCGTCCATCCATCTGTCCATCCATCCATCCATCCATCCATCCATCCAAGAAGCCAAATTTCTGAGTTGAAGACACAACTGCCATGTTAAACATGTTTCTACAAAGCCAAATTCATGAAATTCAATTTAAATTATTGTCCAAGGTGTGTTTATTAATTGATGAAAATACAGAGGACAATGCTAAACATTCCATCACAGAAGTGTGTGCTATTCCAAAAGTTTTGAAGTACTGGCTTTGGATTTTGTTATCAGGGAATAGTTGGGAGCATTTTTAATCTTACTAGATTTGTGTTCCTTCTACATGTATTATTCTGTTGAGACACCTGAGAGTTCGATGCTTTAGGAATAATAGGTAGACTTTGTATACTCCTCAGTATCTTCATAATCAAGCCTGGAACAGTATGCTGCACATAGATGCCCTCAATAAATATTTATGAAATAAATGGATGAGTGATTGACAACATGAATGAGATTACCTTTCTAAACTTTAGCAACTGGTATTGAATCCCTATGACCTCTATCTCTGAGGATGACCATACCCTGTTAAATGCAGCATGAGTCCAAACCTTGTCTTGCCTTTCACAGCTGAACCACCTAACGGCTCCAAGTGCTCTTTCCTTGCCTGTATAATGGAGATACAAATAGTTATCTACCTCATAGGGTTGTAGTGAGGGGTCAATGAATTGATATGATAGAGGGTTTAGAACCTGGTAACTATATAATAATAGGTCTTGGTCATAATTATTAGTTTCTACTATGGTTCATTCTACTTTTCTGTTTTCCCGATCTTCTATATTTTCTTGTGTATATTACTTTAATAATGGGGGGAAAGTTACACTTTTTAGATGTACTTATGTCTGAGTGCACTCTCAGCTGTCACCAGCTATCTCCGGTATTTAGATATTAGCTAAATTTTATGCCAAAGCAGGGATCATTTCACTTGCCCTGAATCCAAGTGCAACCAGCTAGTGAGTGTGTGAACGTGCACAGGGCTGGCCTGGGAGAGACACCGCTAGCCAACATGAATCCCTCACAGGTGTTTCCAGACTAGCTCCTTACCCATCCTAGTGCATTTCTGATCACTTCTCTTACCAGATCAGACACTTCTAGATGAGAAACCACAACACTGACCAGAGGATTAACGTGATGAGTCAGTTCTCCATGTACATAATGACAATGTCTTATTCACATTATAAGCGGAATAATTCAACAATAATCTTTAGTCCTTTCCCCTCCTCCACCATGGTGGAAATTATAGAAAAGTAAAAGCTTTCTCTGTCCCAAAGGAAATGGAAGTACTAATCTTTCCCACATTGAACCGTGGCTCTCGGCAGCACATTTGATCACATCGGGGAGTTTTAAGAAACACTGATGCTTGGGCCCTATTAAATCAAAACTCTAGTTCAGTGACCCTTGAAATCTTTCTTGTTTTTTGGTTTTGTTTGCTTATTTCTTTATTTTATTTTTACTCTCCAGGTGATCCTGATTTTCAGCTAGGGTCAAGAATGACTGACATAGATGGTTCTGTTATTTCCTCAGTGCAGCCCCAAGCTCGGGCCCAGCTGGATCTTCTGCAAAAAGGGTTAATCACATCAGTGTGTAAATGGAACTCCTTGGGAGAAAGTAGAGAGAAGTACCATTTAATTGCATGTGAGTCTGTTTGGGCTGTAGGCAAAACTGAGTAAAGCAACAGGATTGTGCTATAGCGATGAGACTGTTAATAGCAGTGAGGACCATAATAACATATTACGTATATAATCTCTTTTACCCCCGAGAATCTTGTAAGGTTGATATTATTATTTCCATTTTATCGATGAAGAAACTGAGGGTTAGACAAGGAACTTGTTCTACAAGGTCGCACGCCTTCCGACTTAGATTTTCCCGACTCCAAAGCCTCTGCAGCCATCGACTGCAGACCGCAAGTTAAGCCCAGCAGAGAGGGTCCTGAGAACCACCTGAAGGTAAATCTTGAGATAAGCAACTTCCCTTGTTCCTTTGCATCCCTCTCCTGGGGACCAGGTTGAGTCTTAATTCTGGGGTGACCTCTTGTGGAGAGGGGCTAGTGTGTGAAAACGCCGAGGGCTCTGCTTCATCCAGCATCCAGTGTGAATCGAGAGCCAGCTTGTTCTTTGGGCTTTGCAGACTAGGCATGAGGTGCGACGCCCCTTAGACTAGAACCTTCCTGGTATCTTGGCAGAGGAAGCTCCGGTTTGGTAAATATTGATGCGGCACGTACTGTGGGCCAAGCACTGGTGCCAGGGTGCAAAGATGAGTGGACTTTCCGGGCAGGGCATGGTGGGAGCACAGCAGAGGCACCCATCCCAACCTGGTGGCTCAGGG